AAGACAGCTGCAAAAATATATCTGTAATATTATGTAGCGCCCTAAAATGTGGTTCAAATCTGTCAACCGGTGTTTTAGGATTCTAGAAATAGCTGTAAGAGTTCGACCGTCCGCGCATTGGTTGAGTTCGTCAACATATTTTCTATCTGAAGATTGATTTCTCGGTTTCATATGTGAAAGCATTCACTTATTTGTTATAATGGGTTACTTAGACGGTTAACAAAAGTAGTTAAAACTGTTACATTCGTATTTCGATTTGTAGGAACATCCACAATCTTTTCCTGAAATGGTCAGTTTGACAATAAGGTCAATAAGAAATTCATTCTGCAATGCAGTTCAGTGACGAAGGAAAAGCTCATGAATTTTCACATTGCAGCCACAAGAATGTATCTGCTTTTCATCTGAAGAAATTGGTAATCTGATATGCAGCTGAGAGCTGCAGAAAGCTATTCTCGAATCGTGTTTTGTCATCCAAGTTGAGATTGTTACGATATAAGTTCGGATTCATTGTAAACTTCCTACAATCCTATTTATCCCACTTACTATCCATTGAGTAAATGATTTGTATGGCTCTCCTTCACCAGTTATTTCTATTTATTTCATTTTCTCTAGAGACACAGCTATCACTTCTATTGATCTTGTTTGTCGTTTACCTGACTATATTTTCCGATAATAATAATATCATTTATCTATTGAATATTTCACATTGTTGTGTTATATGCCTTGATAGTTTTATCCAGCTCATATATTGATCCCAGCGAAAAAAAAAAAGTTCAGTGTCTTCGTCATTCAACCAAAATCAAAATGAAAACTTTACAGTCTTGTTAGCCAACGGTTTCACCTGCGATCATTACACCATTAGATTCGATAAGGCCCTATCTCATAATTCAGGAATATACAGAGGTCTTCGAAATTTTGCATCATTTCTTCTCTTTGCACTGACCGAGGGAAGACCTGTTTTCTTCTGATGTGCAGTTTCCTACATCACAACCTTATTCGGGATAAAATCTATGGTTGATCAGCAAGAACAGTCCAGTTTGTTATTGGAACACTATGATGTTCTCTAATTTTGTCTAGTTACCTAGTTCCACTGGATGATTTCAGGAAGACAAAAAGATATACCACATTTGTTGATCTACGGGAAAGCCTAGTTTTGCAACGGTTTATCTATGATTGAGTTTGAATTTGTTCCCAACCTTCAGATATCATCCTCATCTAGGAACTTGCCATATATTTACTTCAATTTCGAAATATTTGGCAAAATCAGTTCAATTGTTATCTTTTCACATATCAATATTTCAAATTCACATCTGAATTGCACCAACAAAATCTTTCCTTTTTACAGTGACATTTCTGTTGTCTCTTGATATACTAGCAACCTCACTATTATCTAGTGACCTAAGTTTTGCATCGGCTTTTCCTTTGTGAATTTTTCACTATTCTTCTCACTCAACTCTTCTGTTTTTGTTGCAATATTTATTTTCAGTCAGCCTTGCTCAAATAACCATGTCAATACATTTTTGTAATATCCTTTAGGAGCTCCTCGTCAGCCATGTATTCCAAAGTGAATCGAATTGTAATACGAGGAAATTATATTAACTGATGATGCTCTGAAGCTGAAGTCATATTCTTGTTGAGTTTTACTGTCACGATCGATCAAGAAGCCTAATTGTGCAACAGATTTGTCGCACATCACTGTGTATCTTTGAGAACTGAATCCAAACTGTCTATGAACCAATATGTGTTTGGAAGTGCAATTTGTTTTTTTGTGAAAATTGATGTGATGTGAAAATGTGTTCCTGCATAATTACAGGAAGAAATGTTACCCCACTCGTTAGTCAGATATGTCAACATAAATCGAATTATAATTACGGGAAGATTAAATCAACTAGGGATGCAGAATGTCATTCACCAACCACCATCCTTGAGAAAAAGGGTTCTGAGTGTTTCTGTTCTCGACGTTTTTAGTACTCATGTCGACTTTCTATTTATCGAAAGATAATTTTCTCGTTTTAATTCTTTCAATATAGAGAATTGGTGGTATTTTATTTGATAGGGGTATTGATACCAATATATCATGGTTTGCCTGCTTGAATTCTTGAAGTATGGAGTTTTATGCTAAGAATCATACGGTGAAAGGACCTCGTTAATCCTTAGCTGCACAAGTTCCGATTTCTGAGTGGGTCGACATCTAATTAACAGATTTTTGATAGTTGGTAATAAGATCTGTTGAGAACAGGAAGCTAATATAAATAGTAATTAGTCCAGTTGATTCACAAAGTGTATATCATATTTTCAAAAAGTTGGATGAGATTTATCAGTATTATGCTTGTTGCAGCATGAAAAGTATAATGAGAAGTATAACTCTTCTCTGCAATGAGATCATTTGTACATAAACCTCTTCTAGCTGAGGCGCTGAATCTTAATAAATACTTCTGTTTATTGGACGCAGTTTCTGGATATCAAAAGGACCTTGAACTTCTTTGAGGCTAAAAGTGGTCTCCCTCAAGAGTTTCACTTCAGGTGGCATACTGGTAATAGCATTAACTCTCATTTTCAATCTACTCATTCTACTCACTTGCTTATTAAGTAAAATGTTTGGGAGTTTCCTGTAAGAAACCCAATCATGAAACTTATCAGACAAGAGAGGCTGATCAACTATATAAACAAGCACTTTATCCCAAAAATTTCTTGTTTTATACATTTCTTATAACAGGAGTTGCAGTTTTTGCAGTGCCAAGTCTATTAGACTCAAATGTATATGACTTCAGAGCTTCGTTTGTCTGATAAAATGTAGATTCCTAAGTCCCTGGTGTTTTTTCGAGAAATTTTAAAACACCATGTCTTTGTAACATGCATTTCTGGTTGTATAGTTGTGAAAGGGGTTTAGAGAGCTTGAAGAGTCTCCACCAAGCTTAGGCCATGACATGAGACGAGATCGGATGTTAATGAAGGTGGATCTAGCTAGAAAGATTAGAAAGTAATAAGAAACATAAGAGCCATAACACATAATCTCCGGACAGTATAAAAAAATTCAAAATTGAAAAAGCAAGATGAATGTTGGAAGCAAGCGGCTGTGTAGGCGTATCTAATTGTTCATCTCCCACACTGAAAGCGATAGTCATCTCAATTCCATAAATCAAAGGTGACTTATCCCTAAAAATATTGCCTGGGTAATAAATGTGGTTTATCTCACTAGTCCAGGGGCCATAATCTTTTCCATTGGAAGTTCGGGCTATGGTGCAATTGAGTAGACTGACTTTTTACATATTTCATCTTGATTATCGTCAAAACAAATAGTTACGATACTCACTGTATCGTTTATCACAACTCTCACACCTTTACAAGATTGTTGATGATGAAACTCAGTGATCTAGCAACATTAGACCTCCAACAAATTATTTTACCAAAATAATCTTTCATAAACCTGATTATCTGAAGCAGTTAAACCAATTTGAAAGTTATTTATTGCTAGAATTCGTTCTGGTTCCAGGACTAATTACTATAACAAAGTCTCCCCTCGAAAAACGACCCTGGATTTCATCAGTGAACATAACAGCCAGCGATTCCCTTGGTAATATTTTTTAGTTTGCACCCCTTCGTGAATAAACAGAGAACGATGAACATTCCAAAGCAGCAGAAAGAGATAAAGTGTTCAACCGAATATCATAGAAATACTCTAACTAAGCCCTCGGCTGTGCATCAGATACTACGGAAATTCAATAAAGCGAGAAGGAAGCAGTCGAATGCCTGGTTGGAAAGAGACGGCGCTCCTACCAATAACCGCTCCAAAATGAGAGACAGATGCGTTAGTGTGCGAGACGTGGAAGAGAGATGGAGACAAAACAACAGCGCTGATAGAGACCAACGTATAATTTAAGTGAGACACACTTTGCCATTACAAATGATTTAAAAAACGAAGACAGCGGTCTCGATAAAGCTTGAGCGAGAAAGTTGCACGCCGTCGAAGGATAGAAAGAGACGCAACACGCCTCGAAATAATGTTAGCGTGACATGATATATTGTAAATAAAAGAACTTGAGCTGTTTCTTATGCCGCAATTGTTTATTTATTGGGAAGCATATCGTAACTTCGTTCGCCTACAGGGAGCTGCTTTGTTTCATGGGAAGTTGCAATTAAAAAGTCTTGTCCAGATTTATTCTTTATGGTAATTAGGCATTTCTAGAAGCCAGTAGATAGAGTTATGTAAACAGTATAAAGGTTACGATAGTAACATTCCGTCTAGTGTCTAGTCTAGCTTTGAAAGGATGCATGTTTTTGTAGTTTTCTCTTAAAAGATTTGCTCTTCTTGTTTAATAATCTTAAATAATTGGGTTTTGTCTTTCTGTAATTATGATAACAAATACTGGAGTTATTCAATACGGATACATTTCTCATTACACAATTATCAAAGTTTTTTCATTCTTGAAACATTTTCTACTTCCTTGCGATAATTATGTTTTTATACACAACAAATTATACTTAAGTAACAGCAACAGTCAGTCATATTCAAAACTGGCAGGTGATACGCTCCCTCCAAGAAATAATTTAAAGGGACCGCTCTCCTTTCAATTTGTTACCTACCTCTTGTTGAAGAACGGGTCTTTCTCATACCACCCTGTGATAGTTTGACCTCGCCTAACCAATTTTACGAAATTGCATCCATCATTCAGTAAATAATCTCAACATTTCTCAGAAAAATATTCAAACTTACCTTTGTAACTTATTTAGTGACAGCAATTCCAGACAGAATGACAAAGTACAAAAAACAAACATGCAAATGCAATAACTAATCGTTATTCTACCTAATCGTATTCAAAACAATCAACTTTAATTGAATATCAATAGTGTAGATATCAGATTAGCATAATGATCCATGTATAAATTAACAAAAATCAAAAATATAAATATAAAACCATAAGTCTCTACATGCATGTTTGAGAAAAGTGTTTTAACCTCAACCATATCAAAAAAGTGCATTGACATAAAAATCACGTTACCTCCAACTTGCGCATTCAACTGTCACAAGCAGTCGTCATTCCAAAGCACATTGCGTTAAAAGCCCTCTCGGAAAATGGCAACGTGGTTGCAGCGATCTACCGGCAACGTCGCATCGCCTACATAGAGATATAAATTGTATGTTAAAATATTCTCGGATTCATCGTCCGTTTAAACCAGGATAGCGTGCTCGGATTTTCGCGAAAATTTCACTGTGGACACTCTGAGTAATGCAGAAAACGATACCACTTTCAAATTTTGAAAATATGTCAATTTTGAGGTACTTTTGGCGATTTCGGCGACGACGTGTTAGCGCGTTAAGAAATTTAGGTACACTAGAGAAGCTTGTTTTAGCCCGATAGTCTTCGACCCGCCTGATATAAGCTCCGCCCCTAGCCAATCGTGCCATAGTATCGCTATTGACGTCATCCGAGCACTGACGACCGTTCACGAGCCGTAGCGTGCACAGCAGAGGGAACTCTGCATTCCATTTTGTTATATGCAGTTAGTATTTCGTTTTCTGATTTATTTTTGGAAATTGCTGCGTGGTTTTATTGCTGGGGCGATAGTTACACGCGCTCACATCTGTCACTGTCAGCCTTCGATCTGAATGTACTTTAATATGGGTGGAGGGCAATGCAGGCATTTGCAGTTGGGTTAATAGGTGTAATAAAACCCAGGTTGTAAAATTTGAGGGACAGCTACCATGATGGTGAATACTTTTATGAAAGAAGTTGACCATTTTGAAACGAGTTGTACTTTTGATCAGCGGTAGTTTCAAGTTAGAAGTATGAAGAGGAGAAGTATTTTGAAAAAGTTTTCTCAAACTTATACCAGGTTTAGTGTTAGATTACACAGAAGATGTTTTTGGCAAAAAGTTTTGTTCTTACATGGTTTGAGAGTAAATTGGGGTCAAGATTACAAATTTTTGTCTCTGTAATACGTAATTGTTCAGAAACGGATTCACATAACTAACAGCAGCTAGATATAGTTCATGTTCGATAGTCTTTCCGACTTGACTTTTTTCACAATAACGCAGAAATCTGTATTCGTCTACTTCAATTTGAAGGTAGCAACGTAAACACCAGCAACCTGGGGTGCATTTGAAACAACTTCACAACTTATTTTCAAAAATGTAATGTTTCCTGATTACCTTCTTCGTAGGTATTTAACATGGACGTTTTATTTTTCTACATCCATTTTATCTAAGTTCAAAGCTTTACCATTAATCCTGTCTTGAATATCTTCCACCCAATCGAACCTTTCACCAACCTTCACCAACCAAAGCACTGCCGAAGTGGCCAAATCAGGCATTTGTAGTTTTACTAGTTTTATATAACCACGACTCTCATATTTACCTACCGACGATACCTACCGACTATTGCAGGGAAAACGGGATAGTGTTATTATCTTTCCCCCCGCATACTTCCCATAAACTTCAGTCATTATATAGGAGCGTTTATGGGCCATTTAAGAGTTACCTAAATACTGCTATGGATGCTTGGTTAAAAAATCATTCTGGAGAAAGTTTGACCATATACGATCTGCCAGGAATTGTAGCAAAATCAGTGCCATCAGCCACAACACCTAACAATATTCAAATATTCAAATAACAATATTCAACAGAAACGTTTTTGACGAATCCGAATTTGCTCTTTGTTCGGTAACTTATCGGCCTCTAAATAGTAACGTTTCAACCCAAGAAATGGAAGCAGTAGCTTCAACTTCAACAGCTGATATGGTTCTCACAAAAAACATTTCAAAATCTGAACTGTGTAATATAGATTTGGCCATTTCCCAAGCAGGTGATAACCAGATCCTTGATAAACCGAACCTTGACGCGCACGTGGAAGCGTCCACTTCGAGGGATAGTCTGATGGCTCTGTCAGAAAGTCGATGATCAACCCCTAGCTTCCACTTCAAAAAAAATTCAGGTGCTTAATACATCCAAGGATATATTGTTGGAGATTCGACCATATCCTAAAGCTAATTTTACCAAAAAAATCATTAAAGGTAGAAAAAAACGCAAATCAGCTATTTTAACAGAAACGCCGGAAACACAAGCTCTAGAAGAAGAATTGGCTAAAAGAAATGAATCTAAGGCACGTAAAGTAAAGAGAAACTTATCCGCAAAAGGAAACAAAGACAAAGCAAACAAAAAGCAAATAGAAACTTCATCCGGGGACGAAGATGAAGCGTTTTGTCTCTACTGTCTGAAACCATACAGTCATGACAATAACGGAGAAGTTTGGATTAAATGCATAGATTGTAAATCATGGTGTCATGAAGAGTGTGCAGACAATGTAGATGATTTGTATTTTTATTGTTTAAATTGTAAAGATTAGTTGTTAGTTCAGTTGTATTGTTATCTAAATATCACCAAGTTTAGTTACTTTTTTACATACATTTAACCCACTGTTTTACCTGAATATATGTTTTTTTGTATTTTTACAACTGACCCCCTTATGGGTACAATTGTAACATTTGACACAAATACATAATAGACGTGTTAAATTCAAAAAGTGTTTGATTTCAGTTAAATACATATTTTAACTTTAATAAAGAATGCTTATTTTATCAGTAGAGCTTCGTTTGATCAAAATATAATATTTAATTTGCGAGCAAAATCGTACGTTGTCAAAATTGTTACAATTGACCTCACTCTCCCCTAATCATCAAAAATGACTTTATTGTTTTTCAAAATATTCCCCATGAAATCTATACACTTTGGCATGCGTTTGAACCAATTCTCTAAGCACTTTTGCCACTCTGATTGAGGTATCTCCAAAACATGCATTCTGATTGCAGCAACCGCTTCTTCAGGTGTTGAAAAACGTTGACCTCTCAGTTAGTTTTTTATGTGCGGGAATAAAAAGAAGTCATTCGGTGCCAAGTCAGGACTATACGGCGGATGACTCATCAAATCGATGTTTTGGGTGCTCAAAAATGCAGTTGTTTGAGCCGATGTGTGAGAGCTCGCATTGTCGTGCGGTGAAGAGTGATCCGTCTTCGGCGGTTGGTTTTCCTGATTTCTTGGAAGACAACTGGCAAACAAATGGTTGTGTACCACTCAGAATTTACTGTTCTGCGTTGTTCTAGTGGTACGGTTGCGACATTTCCAGTTTTTTCGAAAAAACATGCGACCATTTGCTTGGAAGTGTTTCGTGCGCGAACAATTTTTTGGATTTGACTCATCTTGAAACACCAATACAGTCGATTGCTGTTTATTTTCGGGTCATATACGCATAAATCCACGATTCATCACCTGTCACGATGTTATAGACGTGTTTAGAAGCACCGCGATCGTATTTTTTGATCATTTCCTTCGACCAATCAACACAAGCCTTTTTTTGAGCGATTGACAAATTGTGTGGGATCCAACGCGAACAAATTTTTTTGACAGTCAAATGTTTATGCAATATTGAATGTATGCTGGTCCCACTAATGCCTAAGGTTGTCTCAATCTCACGATAGGTCATATGACGATCTTGCAATATCAGTTCGCGCACACCATTAATGGTTTTCGGAACAACAACTGATTTTGGACGACCTTCACGAAATTCGTCTTGGAGAGAACTATGACCACGATTTAATTCACCGTGCCATCGATAAACACTGGTCCTTGATGGAGCTTCATCGTCAAAAACTGAATTAAGTTCATTCATGCACTGTTGCTGAGTTAATACACGGCGAAAGTTTTGAAAAATAATCGCACGAAAATGTTCACGATTTGTTTCCATTTTCGGGCCGAGATGAATCTTTTAAGTTACTGTAAACAACCCAAATAGCGCGCGTATGTCAAAACTTTCTGAGTACATATAAGCTCAAAAATGTTCAAGTTTACGATAGAGCTGTCAGCTGCCAGATTGCAACACTAGAGTTGGCAAATCCCGAAACATAAAAGGCAACCTAGTATAACTGTTTGATATATGCGAATCACCTGAAATTATATTGTGAGATCAATGGCATCGAGGACTGTCTTCAATCTGAAACGTGTCGAGCAATGGTGTTTTCGCTACAATCTTCCTTTAAACGCGAGTAGATGTAATGACGTAGGTAGGTACACACTAAAAAATCATCCATTTTCATATCAATATTTAGTAAGCGATATTCCACTTCAACGGTCTCTCACATTCACCGTTCTAGGTGTTTCCTTCGCTATCTTTCCTACGTGCCACACATTGAAGCGACTCTGCTGCAAACATGTTGCATGGATTCATTGCACGAATTTCCAGAGATTTCTTGGATCCATCTACATCGAAAACCTCATACTATGCTTTCGTCAGATCAAAATTAGAATACCTACGCATCCATAATCTGGAATCCATCTCATCAGTTGTATACAGAGAGAAAGTTAAATCAGTACGTCGTTTCCTAAAACTTCTCTCCTATAGATCAGACAATATCTATCCACCAATTGGATTTCCCCATGATGCATTGCTAGCTAGACATGCTATGAATAGCTTGAGTTGCCGTCGTGATTGTTACTCCACAATTTTTCTTTTTAAACTGATTAATAATTTGATTGTTGACTCACATATTCTGCAAAAACTACTACCTAGACCAACCTCTAGAGTGGATAATCCGTTTTATCTACCAACACCACGTATACAAATATTCTGAAACGTTCACCTCTGCATAACATGTCTGTCAAATGCAATTCAGCAATTGTCAGCTCGACATTTTTTACTGTTCCATCTCTGAGATTAGGTCTTCTTACTTCAGCTAATTCAATATGTATTGTTTTCGTCTTATAACTTATTGTACTTGTATTGTATTTTAATTTGATTCATATCCCTGTTCTGTAGTTGAGTGTAACCTGTAGAACAGTGTTTGAATGAATAAAATTAATCAGTTATGTCTAGTATACCAAGTATAAAGTAATACGTATAGATATGGTATACTATATCTTTATTAATTAAAATAATATTTCCGAAGACGAAAACCCAAACAAAAAAAGACCATGGTGTTACTATATGGTGGTTAGTGACTGATGATGTGATTCACCGTAACTTTTAGAGCTGCAGAGTTGGTTAAATTGGACAATTTTGCCCTATTTTGGGGAATTAAAATATTCTCTTTTCTGATTGAGTTTAGCAGTGGTTGTTTTTGAAATATTCGACAGAAACGAGAACTATTGAATTTCGTTTTTTGACGCTATATTGGTAATTACCTTGATTTTACCTTGACAAATGCATAAAAATTTTTGGAAATATAAAAAATGTGAAACTGAGAAAAAAATATATATA